ATGTGGGGGATATAGAGTGTGGGGTATACAGAATGTGGGGTATACAGAATGTGGGGTATACAGAGTGTGGGGGATACAGAGTGTGGGGTATACAGAGTGTGGGTATACAGAATGTGGGTGATATAGAGTATGGGGTATACAGAATGTGGGGTATACAGAATGTGGGGTATACAGAGTGTGGGGGATACAGAGTTTGGGGTATACAGAGTGTGGGTATACAGAGTGTGGGGGATACAGAGTGTTGGGTATACAGAGTGTTGGGTATACAGAGTGTGGAGGATTTAGAGTGTTGGGTATACAGAGTGTGGAGGATTCAGAGTTTGGGGTATATAGAGTGTTGGGTATACAGAGTGTGGGGTATACAGAGTGTGGGGTATACAGAATGTGGGGTATACAGAATGTGGGGTATACAGAGTGTGGGGGATACAGAGTGTGGGGTATACAGAGTGTGGGTATACAGAATGTGGGTGATATAGAGTATGGGGTATACAGAATGTGGGGTATACAGAATGTGGGGTATACAGAGTGTGGGGTATACAGAGTGTGGGGGATACAGAGTTTGGGGTATACAGAGTGTGAGTATACAGAGTGTGGGGGATACAGAGTGTTGGGTATACAGAGTGTTGGGTATACAGAGTGTGGAGGATTTAGAGTGTTGGGTATACAGAGTGTGGAGGATTCAGAGTTTGGGGTATATAGAGTGTTGGGTATACAGAGTGTGGGGTATACAGAGTGTGGAGGATTTAGAGTGTTGGGTATACAGAGTGTGGAGGATTCAGAGTTTGGGGTATATAGAGTGTTGGGTATACAGAGTGTGGGGGATACAGAGTGTTTGGTATACAGAGTGTGGAGGATTTAGAGTGTTGGGTATACAGAGTGTGGAGGATTCAGAGTTTGGGGTATATAGAGTGTTGGGTATACAGAGTGTGGGGGATACAGAGTGTGGGGTATACAGAGTGTGGGTATACAGAATGTGGGGGATATAGAGTGTGGGGTATACATAATGTGGGGTATACAGAATGTGGGGTATACAGAGTGTGGGGTATACAGAGTGTTGGGTATACAGAATGTGGGGGATATAGAGTGTGGGGTATACAGAATGTGGGGTATACAGAGTGTGGGGTATACAGAATGTGGGGTGTACAGAGTGTTGGGTATACAGAGTGTTGGGGATACAATTGATACAATGTAAGGGAAGTTGCATTGTTCGTGCTATATAATGTACAGTGTTCGGGGGAGACAGAATATGTGACAGGAAGGCGGTATTCAGACAGATTGAAGTTTTATTTTTGTTACGATAAATATCTAATTAACTCGAAAAAATGAATCTTTAAAATGTGTAATTAGAAAATATTTAACAGATAGATATTGTGTAAATATTAATTGGCACGTGCATCACATTTCAATAATTACGAATGAAGACAAAGGATTCGAACAAACAGTGTTATAGGTACGCAGGTGTAACATGTGTTGTTGTTGGGACCTCAGCTGATATACCGGTTTTCTTGACAAGACAATGATATTTGTAAACATATAATTAATTTGCTGACACGATCCACTACTTTGAATTCTAAGTCTCAATTTTTCAGCTTCATGGACCCAAATGTTGTCTAAGAAGGTCTCGATGGCTCTAGGATAACACAATAATGTATTCAAACATCTCTATACCTTCAATATAGAACCAAACTGAGCCTGGGACCTCAACATTGTCAGTAGGAGGTTTCTTGGGTTCTCAGGTAGAACCAAACTAAGCCTGGGACCTCAACATTGTCGGTAGGAGGTTTCTTTGGTTCTCAGGTAGAACCAAACTAAGCCTGGGACCTCAACATTGTCGGTAGGAGGTTTCTTTGGTTCTCAGGTAGAACCAAACTAAGCCTGGGACCTCAACATTGTCGGTAGGAGGTTTCTTTGGTTCTCAGGTAGAACCAAACTAAGCCTGGGACCTCAACATTGTCGGTAGGAGGTTTCTTTGGTTCTCAGGTAGAACCAAACTAAGCCTGGGACCTCAACATTGTCGGTAGGAGGTTTCTTGGGTTCTCAGGTAGAACCAAACTAAGCCTGGGACCTCAACATTGTCGGTAGGAGGTTTCTTGGTTTCTCAGGTAGAACCAAACTAAGCCTGGGACCTAAACATTGTCGGTAGGAGGTTTCTTGGGTTCTCGGATAGAACCAAACTAAGCCTGGGACCTCAACATTGTCGGTAGGAGGTTTCTTGGGTTCTCGGATAGAACCAAACTAAGCCTGGGACCTAAACATTGTCGGTAGGAGGTTTCTTGGGTTCTCGGATAGAACCAAACTAAGCCTGGGACCTAAACATTGTCGATAGGAGGTTTCTTGGGTTCTCGGATAGAACCAAACTAAGCCTGGGACCTAAACATTGTCGGTAGGAGGTTTCTTGGGTTCTCGGATAGAACCAAACTAAGCCTGGGACCTAAACATTGTCGGTAGGAGGTTTCTTGGGTTCTTTGGTGTTCTTACTAGGTTTATACCAAAAAAACTATACAAGGCCCGCCTAGTGTACGACAAAATGTTGCCAGACATGAACCCAGTTGAGCATGTGTGGAACTGTTTCGGACAAATAGTCAACGCACAGGATTTCCATGCTCAATTAAACTCGTTGATTAGATTGTCTTCTTGATAAAGTATTACGTTTTGATTTGATGACGTCATTGTTGATAAGACACACTTAAAGTCAAAACTTTTTTCTAGACTTCGCGGGCGCCTTTTTGTGCTCGTCTTTTTAAAATGATGCATAACTTCCTGTTATGTAAATTTCTTTTCCTACCTAGTGATAAAGTTCCGTAATATTCCGAAAAACTGCACCCTATACATTCTCCTTCTCAGTTGTCACTAAATGTTTTTATTCGTTACAGCAAACAAAATGAAGCTCGTTCTAAGATATAGATGGTCCGAAAGGTATGACCAAGAGTATTTATCTATACAAAACTGATGAATATCATGTCATGAAGTCTTAGTTCCGACAAAATTAAAACTGGCGTCATCGATATTCTATAGCCCTTTGACACATTGAAGGCACGCGTGTAGATAAGGGGTCGTAAACTGATGTCGGGGTATAAATGGTCTGTATTATCTTGTCCCGTATGAATTACCGTAACAGTTAAATATACATCATCATGAGTTTACTGTGATGTTGACGCTTTAACTGTCAATTCATTTCCGGTATGATGATCGTCCGGAGTGGTCATTTATTGTTTGTTTGTCCATGATCCGGTCAGTATGTTGGACATGTCTTCCTCTGTCGATGTCCCAGCCCTCACATCATGTACACGCAGATATTTACATACTAAGGCTTGCTCTCTCACTACCATATTTTGTAAAAGTGACGTGGTTTGCTAATAAAACGTCATGATTTCACCAATTGTGATCTGGAAGATAAATAATTATTATAATAGGCATACACAAGCTGATCATAGTATGACTACAACATATATTGAAATGTTTAAACAGTATGTTTTTGTATAAATAATAAAACCGTGCACATAAGGATTCGAAAACCAGTAATAAGTACGTGTACACTAATTTTATATAGCCACAATTTAATATTAAAATCAATGTTATATAAAGACACTATGTTATATAGCCACATTGTAATATTAAAATCAATGTTATATAAAGACACTATGTTATATAGCCACATTGTAATATTAAAATCAATGTTATACAAAACACTATGTTATATAGCCACATTGTAATATTAAAATCAGTGTTATAAAAACACTATGTTATATAGCCACATTGTAATATTAAAATCAGTGTTATAAAAACACTATGTTATATAAACACAATGTAATATTAAAATCAATGTTATATAAAGACACTATGTTATATAAACACATTGTAATGTCAAAATCAGTGTTATACAAAATACTATTTTATATAGCCACAATGAAAAATTGAAATCAATGTTATAAAAACACTTTTTTTTATATTTTCTTATATTTCACTGGAAAAGTTAACAAAACGTTGTATTTTCTTTACATAAAAATATATAAATCTATATATCTATTTATTTGAAAATGTATTTTTAAGAGTTTCGTTAGACGTTCTCTACACAACCTTGTTTTTCATCAAACTTTGGTTCATCATATTAATCTATCTAAACTTTGCTATATAATGCCATACTCCTGAATATCTGGTGAGAATAGCGACTTTTAACGGAAAATAGGAACCCAACATCAGACTTCAGAGTCATTATTCAATAGCATGTTGATTCCATAATGCACTTTTAATGCGATGTATGAAAGTATGCAAATATCATACATTTAATAGAAAGAAAGAAAGAACGTAGAAAGAAAAAAAGAAAGAAAGAATGTAGAAAGAAAGAAAGAAAATCGATACAAACATTTTTAATTTTCCTTCATTCCACAATTGTCTGAGATGCAGTGTCCAGTAAGACTAAATACTGACCATTGTATTATAATCTAGTTTGACCGCTGAATGGACAGTCCGAAGCTGTATTACAGATATAAAAGTCTATTTACCTACACTGCCATTAAGTGGTAGTAAAACTAGGCTTTTCAAAAGTGGTGCTGACCTTACGACTTGGGCTATTGTCTGGAGGGTCAGAAGCCATTGTCCGGAGACAAGATTGACCACAAGTAGTACTGCCCACCGCCGGACATCGGGTGGGCGCGTAGGTGGTAAATTCGGGGGTACAGTTTTTACTGTAGGTATATATTGATGATACGGGGTGGACAGTTTGCACCGATGAGTCAGATGACCTTTCACTCACAGGTAAATCCTACGGTGGTTTTAGAAGTACCAATAGAGGGACGCGCGTGGCGTTGATCAACGGTAAATAAATATGCCAACCTGTTTCTGCTAATTACACCCAATTTAAATTTTGCTTATATACATAAAATGTCCATGACTTCAGGGACGGGGAATTTATCTCAGTCTGTTACCACGGCTATATATAAACGGTCAACACGAGATTAAACCCATCATAAGTTTACACGCACCCTGGACATATCGACACCATGCCGAAATCTTTCCTTATCCGAACTAATCGAGATATGAAACGAGATCACCGGACTATTGGTAAGACTTCATTTACATAATTATATATAAATACATACATACATTATATACTTTGGTCTCCCCTCGAGATTAAAATCAAACAAAATTACATAATTTGTATTTAGTTACAGGATTTTAATTTTATAAATTTACATGTTTATTTTAATCATTCTCTTCTGAAAGAAAGTAAATGACCGGGATATAATCGTACATGTATTTATATTTGTAACCTGATTTTTTTTGGTTTGTTTTTGTTTGTTTGTTGTTTTTTTTTTGTTTTGAAAAATATCAAACATTTAGTTTCTTAAATGGAAAAGGGGTACTTACATTGTGTACCTACTGAGTACATACAATACCAATTACAAAAAAAAACCAGTTTTCCATAACGATGTACAGTAAATTGTACATAAATTTATTTTGTAATTTTATTTGAAAATATGTGTAAAATATTAAACCATATGTATAAAAGAATGCGGATATAATGGTGTTATACAGCATACCCTAAATTAATATTTTATCTTCTTTTGTTTTATAAGACTTAAAGAAGCTAGACACTGATTATACATGTATCTGAACAAACCCTTTTCTTATTCCACATGGAAATCATTGACAGGTGTTATTTTTTAAATTATCAGTCAAATAAAAACGACCGCTTAAAATAGAATTAAATCTTAAGTCTGATATCTGTATGCTTTGTAAATGTACGTCGTATTTTTATGATAGAGGTCAAGAACTTTATATAAGTTTGATAAATTCCGCCAAATCTTTGTCTTTGTTTTTAAAATACATGTTTTAACGTAAATGAATTCCGGATTAATTAATTAATAAATCTAATAGAGTAAATCTCTCCTTCACTCGACCATCGGAATACTGACCGTAGGACCGAGTACAAAATATCTCTCTGTCTTTAATACAGTATTCAACTGGTCATGTCATCCAAATATTGAAAGTCATATCAAATCGTAAAAAAAACAAAATCCAAACTTTGATGAATTTTCAAATTACACCGAACCGTATATCCGGCCACACACTTTTATGAGTGTCTGAGAGAGGGATTAATTTTATCGGCGTTAGGGGAAAATTGATATGTGTTAAAGATGTTGATAATAGTAATAAACAAAACAATCCGCTTATGTAAGTTGTACATTATTAAAACAACGAGATTAAAACGTAATTTAATTTAAAGACAACATCTGTATGTCGTATATATTACATGTATATTTACGATATAAAATTATTATCAGTGAACGGCGTTGATATAAAAATTATGTATATCACTCAATAGGCAGAAAAAAAGCCGGACCTAGTCCTTGCTAGTGTTTTGATTAAGATAAGATAGAGGGACGACGGGAAGATTTACAAGTCATGTTTGGGTGTTCCAACCCCAAATCTGTAACAATTATTCTCATTTTCACACAAAATTTATCGAGTTATGCGTATAATGTTTCTATCAAACCGAGGCTGTCACATCATTTGTATATAGAAGTTACATACATGTTTAACAGATGTTTTAATATGGTGCAGTCGCGTTGTATGAGACAGCCCCCAGTATATCTCGCCCACTGATCACACCGTGGTAATCCAGAGAAAAAAAATACACTCAAATACACAAAACAGGTTTGCTTACAATAAATATTCGTATTTCCCATGATTTTTGACTGGATTTCAATTTATCACTTTCAGTTTGTTATCTTTGAAGTACTATATATAACTTACATTTTTCTTCTCTAGTGAAAACTTGGTTAAAGCTGAGGATCCGACTAAAAGTATTATATATTTTGGAAAAATAATCTTTAAAAAAAAGGATTTTCAAGCGACCTGAATAACAAACAGCGTGTTTCATCATTGATATGAATTTCAAGTTTTATTTACTTATATGTAATGTTGAAAATACAAATGTAAGTTCTTAATTTAAGGATGTCGGCGGAATTTATTTTTATGTATGATTAAACGACATTAATATCTAACCGATTAATTAACTTACGTACAGAAGGAAATTGTGTATCTTTTCTAATATAACAATTTAAAAACCAGGATTTATTTGAGCAATGCTGATATCAAGGACCTACGAAATACCATGAAATCATAATTAAGATGATATCATAGGTTTCTGGAGTTTGAAGCATAAATAGCATGCGTATTCAATGGAGCTATTTCTTACAAATGTAACGTTCGGAAAACTAATCTAAACTATACTAAACTTAACTTAACTTAACTTAACTTAACTTAACTTAACTTAACTTAACTTAACTTAACTTAACTTAACTTAACTTAACTAAACTAAACTAAACTAAACTAAACTAAACTTAACTTAACTTAACTTAACTTAACTTAACTTAACTTAACTTAACTTAACTTAACTTAACTTAACTTAACTTAACTTAACTACTTAAAGTTGTGTATTGTAATGGAAAGTATCTGATGGTTCAATGCAGCTACGATCGTCATTAATTTAATGTATGGTCTTTATCAATTTCATAGTAAACAAAGCAGTTCGACGTTGAAAAAGTGAAAGAGCTATCTCATTCTTTCTGTGGAAATCGTTTGGATCAAGTTCCGAGATTCATCGCTCGAAATTGTCCTGTCCATCATCTCCGCGCCCTAACCTCCACCCCTCATGGCTCAACCCCCTCTTCCTTCTTTCATCCTTACCCCAAGTTCCCTATTAATATATATGTATGTTCATGGCCTATCTGGTATAATTACTCTGTAATTGCAACATAAACACTCGGCCCTCAGACTGTCCCAAGCGTATCAGCTTTATTGGCTTGACCACAGAAGCTGATACTGACCATAGCTACGGTCACTGTCCGATGGTCACCATACATCACCAAACTCGGACATTACTAATGGCGATTTATTCCCACTTCAAACTCAAGGTGTCCGGTCACGAAAACAAAAGTTAACAAAGTCGGATATACGTGTGAATGAAATAGCCCGGACAGGAGCCAGATGGTCACTTAGGGTCCCTGGTGGTCAATTTATGGTCTGATGTTCAGTCTTTTAGCTAAGACATAAATGTGAACTTCTCTTCATTTTCAAATCATAAACAATTAAGTACCTCAGAAAAATATAAAGAGCATGAAAATATTAGCCAATCAGCATCGTGTAATCGTTTGGATAAAATGATTTGTATTTCATTCGAGTTCTAAAAAAAGTCACCACGTGACTCGAATGGTGACTAATAAAAACATTATTATTAAGATACATGACATCAACTATTTCAATTTCAAAAACGCTATCTTTATAAAGTCTTCTTCACAAAGGCACAAAAAACGGAACTCGGCAAATGTCTCGTGACGTCACAAAAAGTAAAGTTTTATCTGAATATGACGGCGCCGCTGTAATGCAGTATTGTGACTAAAATAATGCAAAAAAGAAAATGTGAAAATGAAGCAATCGGACAGCATTTAGAATGCCGTTACCTTTTACTGAAGTTTCTGTAATTTGATGTGAATGTAGTATGAGACCTGGCGACGTGCTTAGATAAATTGTATATAGTTTAACGAATTAATGATCACCACCAAAGTTTTATAATTTTTATTTGGTTTTGACGTATAAGTTTAATGATCTGCCAGTACTCGTTTCGTGCGAAGGTTTCAGTTTAAATTTCATATCAATTTCGGCTACACCGGTTGTATATTTATCTACCGATATAAAACGATTGGTTAGTTTTCTGTAGACCACAATACACACTTTACAGAGTACGTACCTGCCAAACACGTTAACACTGTGTCACTATGGCAAAGAAATTAAAGACCCGTTTCATGTTAATGTCACTTTGTTTAGTAAAATGTAGTGTCTGAATTTTCAGTAGATTTCCGATACCTGTTGTTTTGGTTTATTGAGTTGATATGACAACTAGCCGAGTTTAACTAACTGATGTGTAATACCCTTGATAATGTAGTATCGTGCCGGCGGTAACACAGTATCAAATTTCAGTGTAAAATGTATGAGATTGTTTTTAGTTGACAATTATCGGAGACCGCATACATCAAACCGAACGAGTTTGTGTCGGGAGATCTAATTGGTCCGCATATCATTAAAGGCAGGACAGGGATTAACATATACCCGTGTAATATTGGGATCGGATTTTAGTCTTTTACGGAATTACTTAGGAGAATAGACGGACTTCAAAACATATCAACTGGACCTTTACTGACCTGGGTCAATTGTCCGAAGTATCAAAGTCACCAGCGACCAGTAGTGTTTAAATAATTTCATTTAGTGGAGTTTTCCGGTGTAAGTGGCACACTTTCATCATCACCACATATAGGCTTTACTGCTACAGAGGTAAGTTAAACTGTTAAATGTTTTAGATGTTAGATTTACTTTTAAACAGATGTCCTGTTTTTCCAAATACTGAAATATTTCCAATGATAAAATAATATTTTTATCAAAATATCAATTGAATTATATTTTTATTAGTTTATCTTATGGTGAACTTGTGGTGTGTTAAGACGTTTAAATCCGTTACGACATATCATTTCAATCTCCAAAACTGTTATTGATATGTATAAAATTCATGTTGATGAATTTGTTATAACTCATATCAGCCTTATCATCACGCTCTTTCATTGTCAAAAACACAAAAACACGTTTATTGTTTTAATTTAATTTTTTATGACCGATTTACCGAAATAGATAATAATAGCACAATAATTTAAACTAACAAAATGTTTACATAACTACATCAAGTGCAGCCCTGAAAATAGACCAAAAATAGGTCGGTCTCTATGAAATATAAAATTAATAAAACTTAAAAAAAAAAATCCTTTTAACTAATTATCATTTTAAAATAGTTGTATTAGACGAATTTGCTTGTTTATTGTCATCTATCGGTTAGTGTGTTTGGAATTTTCGAATTTGAATATACAGGATTTTTCCGGCTGATTAAAACATGCATTACGCAAGATATAAATATTATCCAGAAACAGACTGTCCCATCCTGTCCGGATGATTTGTAATTTTTTTTGAAGATGCGCTTTGTTCCCTGTAATAACATTATAATACAATATACACTATCTAAATGCTGCATATCACAACGTGAAGTAATAAAAGCTCGGGGATATTTACCAACATAACAGTAATATACCGCCGATAACAGTTTATGAGACACTAGCATCACTAATATTAAGCATAGCTCAGTTGACTCTTACAGAAGATATATATATATATGTACTAAACCATGGTAGATCTATTGTTTTAAAATTGTCGTTTGTAATTGTTGTAAACAGAAGGACATTGTATGAGTTATTGTAATATGAGTGTTGTGTCCGTGATCTTTTGTATGTAATTGAGTTTTGTAATTGTTGTATGTGTAATTGTTGTATGTGTAATTGTTGTATGTGTAATTGTTGTATGCATTTTTGTATGTATTGTTGTATGTGTAGTTGTTGTATGTGTAATTGTTGTATGTAATTGTTGTATGTAATTGTTGTATGTGTAATTGTTGTATGTAATTGTTGTATGTGTAATTGTTGTATGTAATTGTTGTATGTGTAATTGTTGTATGAGTGATTGTTGTATGTAAATGTTGTATGTGTAATTGTTGTATGTAATTGTTGTATATGTAATTGTTGTATATGTAGTGATGTTGTATGTAGTTGTATGTAATTGTTGTATGTGTAATTGTTTTATGTAACTGTTGTATGTGTAATTGTTGTATGTAATTATTGTATGTAATTGTTGTATGTAATTGTTGTATGTGTAGTTGTTGTATGTAATTGTTGTATGTAATTTTTGTATGTAATTGTTGTATGTAATTGTTGTATGTGTAATTGTTATATGTAATTATTACTTACAGCCAAACGCTATTTTATACAATTACGGTATATGTAAAACATGAGGTTAGAATACCCACCACCTAACCACCTGTTTTAATACTAGTAAAATTAGACATGTAACATGCTGTATAGTGTACCAATTCTGGTCTGTCAACTGGATACACCTGATAAGAAGAAAAGTCAGAAATGAACATCAGTTATAGCGACATTTAAATATCTATGCTTATGTTGTGGTAGTTGGGTCATACGTGATATGATTTCTAAATTTTTTGTTTTCAAAAGAAAATAAATCTATAGTCTCTCCATATCTGAGAGTCTTCATTGATGAAGTGAATATTGTAATCCAACAGATATGATGTTGGAGATTGTCTACTGATCACTTCAAAAATATATGATATTTTTAATTTAAGTTTGTAATGTATAAGAGCTGAGCTGAAAATCAGAACCTATAGTAAAACTTGAAGTAAGAAATAGGGAGATAAGAACTCAATGTTTTGTTACATATTCTTTGGTTCTCTGTCTTTTCTTGGAATTTTCATTGTTCGTTCAGGATATGTTATTAAGGTATTGCCTTAAAATCATTAAGCAATATGACACATATCTCAGCGACTTTATAACAACCAGTTTCTGTTATTGAAATATACTTTTATCCATATGGTTCTTTATTCGAATCTTGTATTTGATCTTATGTTGAATATATATGTATGACATTGACTGACAATAATGCTGTTTTGTCCGTAACGTCCGACGGTAAAGGGAGGTATATGTTTTGGCGCCCTATACTGTTAAATTACATATTTTTTTTTGATGATCTGAGATCTAGCAGCCATACTCACTGATTGTCTCCAGATTTAATGTACTCTCCTGTAATCTGAAGTTTCAGTACCGTACTGTCAGTTCTTTTTACCGAACCTTTGTCCGTGAGACGAGATAAACTGAACTCCTCTTCGACCACCGACACTCAACATGAATATATCTGGGTAACATCAACAGTAGCAAGTCTGATACCAGGACGTTAAAACGGTTACCCTGACAACAAACCTACCGATAACAGTTACTATGGAAACGATCAACAATGTTGACATTGACTGGAAACGATAAACAACAATATAATCGACAAAAAAATCACAGGAAAACAACAACAAAAACAACGGCAACAATTATCCGAAACATCACAACTAAACATTCTTAATAATTTTTACGAAACTAAAAAAAATACGACACTAACATAAAAATGTTGTTCTTCATTACCATCGATTCAGTTAAGACCATATCGAAACAATACCCCTAACAATAACCCTAGCAACAACCCTATCAATAACCCTTACATAAAAGCCTAGTTGACCCCGACAACAAACCTAACGATAATTCTGGCAACAGTCATAGCAGTAATCCTCCCTTGAACTAAATAAACAACCCTAACTCCAAGTCTAACTCTTACAGTGAGAATAGCCCAAGAAATAACCCTAACAACACCATAAATCATGGACCAACGATACCCTACCATTAACCCTGGTAAAACCATTGAAAACACCATTTGCCATGGACCAACACTCTGTATTGTTGGTACATTATGATGTCATACATGTTTATATAAAATAAATCGGGAGAAGCTATTTGACATCTGACATGTCACGATGACACGTTGATGTGTTTACTATGTTTGTGTGGGTTGTTGACACAATGCAGAGCGAATACAGACCGAATCGAACAGGTCATACTTCCGGTTTTCCAGCTCTTCCTCTCGCTAAATATGAAACTGTTGAAAACCAATGTGTGTGTGTGTGGCTTATAAGTCCGCCTGTTGATATTTCAAAAGCGTATACTTGTTTATTTGTAACAAACGTTGTTTATAATTCAAATATCCACGCCTTTTATATATCCCTGTAATTTCTATGATAATTTTCAGTTTCTTATTTTAAAAAGCAACCGTGGTTATGGTTTTGTATATGGGTGTAGATGTGTTTGTCGCGGTTCCGGGCAATACTGTCACGTGTTTTACTTTTACATGATGTAAATGACTTAAAAAAAACCAAATATGTCTTCATTTCAATTTCATCTGTTAGAGTCGTTTTAAACACGTTTTAATGACGTCATTATGACGTAAATGATATTCATAATTTAAAAAATATTCTTGACGGTCACATTTTTTCTAAAAAGAAATGAAATCCCGTTTTATTTTTGAATTTAAATATGGTATTGCTCTTTAACGTCATGGTTTTCAGATTGTTCTGAGAAAGTGTTTTACAGCAACGTTGACACTGATAAGACTAGTATATCATGACAGAAACATCTACCCGATGGCGGGTAATCTGTCCCTTTATTGTCCCTCCCTGTCGTCCCTCATCTCGGACGTAACGTCAGAGCTTCTGTGCAATGAGAGGTTGACTGATTTGACCTCGAAGAGTTTGTGGAGAAGTCGGGTCGCTCTCAACACTGAGTCCAACATTTGTTGACATACAAATATTGTGGCCTCTGAGTGTTTTTAAATCCTTTTATAGTGGAGAAAATGAGTTGTAATAACACTAGTGCAGCACTCAGGCGCGTTCGAGTAGGCTTGCTCTTAGAGATATCGACGAGACGAACGGAAGCTTAACACAAGTGGTTCCATTGATGATCAATTAAACTTATCTGTAAAGGCAAGTACTTCGTCCATTTTAAATGGTAATCAATTATTAGGATTGTCATTCACAAAAAGTGGAGTGCTCTCGAGCCTCGCAAGGCACCCGAAGACAAACAGAATGTCTACCAGTGCGACTGGAGCTGGGATCCGAGTCGTAGTCTTGTACAAGTTCTCTTAATGGGTTTTTATGTGATATCCAAGTTCTGTTTTAGAAGTTACAATTATATATATTAACGATTATATACAGAGAAGGGCTATACAATTTGTGCAAAAGGACGCGTTTCTGAAACCTGATTGCACGGTTTGTGACTGGTACGGTCCGAGAGAACAATGATGACGTCACTGCAGCCAACAAGCCCAGGTGCTGTCATCGCATTTAGTTTTAGAGTTAGTAAGGGGTCATCGAGTACTAGTCTGGCCCCTTCACCGTGCCGTGTACAGAACAGTCTCTAATGTATTAACACACACGCGCCGATATGATGGCTAATTTTGTTTATTTTCTGACGTACATGACAAGCATGGCGTCATCTCGATCAAATTGATTTATATTTTACGAACAATTAACCTCATATATTTTGCGCTAACATTTGACTGAATTATTTATTTTAAACAAACATTTTTTACAGATCAACCGATTGTTTATCCCTCATCACCGGAAGAAAGCAAACAGTGTTTCACAGACTCCATGGCTGCTATTTCACATCCGGTTTATTCTGCGAGCCCTATATCTGCCTTAACAAACTGGAGCGAAATGTACCCTATGGGTCATTCAAGGGCGTACTCCGTCGGCTCCCTAGGACTACCTCTTCAAACATGTCTGACTTTCAACGCGTACACTTTCAACCAATGGGGATCAGCGATGTACCCGACATTTGTACCAAGGGGAGGCAACTATGATTTACACGAAAAAAGAAACCGGAAGGATGAGAACAATAACGGAGGTAATATAATATGAACGTCGGTACATCGGTCAATGCAAGATAAATTGAAAAGTACTGTTCATGTATTTTTTCTGTAAAATTTACTACAAATCACACGATTCCTATTTTTCAATATCCACAGAATCTTTACCAGTTCGGAAGCCTCGATTTGATTTCGCCAATCTTGCAAAAGCGGCAACAGAGGGCGCTACAGACAGAAGGGATGGAACCGACATTGAGGCACAAATAATAAGTCACGTGATGATGAATATCGGCTCCCTGAGGTAAATATTACAATAATTATTATAGAAAGGCTCCATGAAATAGTGCTTGTCGTGGCCTTGAATAACGTTGTCTAAACTGATCACTGTTGTAAGTTTAACTATAAACCGGAAATCTGTCACTACCCAGGACTCTTTTTGATAAATTGATGCAATACTCCCCTTCATTAAAAGTCGTAGCGAATTGAAAGAAATACCCCCTACTACCCTCTGCTAATTCTAGATTGATTTCAGTGGTCCCTAATATTTGTCGAACATTTTCACAGAAAAATGGAACATCGCCCATCCCGTCATTCAGTCAACGGACAACAAACGGAAACTATCTTTTTTTTCGTCTACTGTTACATAATGATTTGTCCTAAATCTATATAGCGAAAAACTGAAGAAAAGAAAAATTCTCGTTATGAATTGTTTTGACTTGTTAGATTTATCTGAAAACTACACAACGTGAAAGTAGACTATATATTATTTCATTACAAAAAAGAAAGCATTATCAAAACTTCCGGGAACTTTTATCAAATGATGACTTATCCTCTACACTTAGATCCTGTGTAAGTGGTCTGTGTGTGCTGTGTGCTATGTATTTTCTATGTTTGTTGCTGTGTTTGTACTTCCACTGTAAATATATGCACTGTACTGATAAACCGTAAAGTTTAAAGTAAATAAACTGAACTGAACTGGAACTGAACTTAATAATGGTTAATGATTGATGTTTGTATTACAGATACAACCCTATGACCAGTAGTTTCAGTCCTGTTACGTCATCACCACGTGCTAACCCTGTCACCCCAAGTAAAAGGCCTCGTGGTAGAGGACCAGCTAGGTAAATAATTATGTCTATGAAATAGCGATAACTAACATTCAGCTTCACAATCCAGTATGGCCGCTTGTCAGCCATTTTGATTTTCTTATCAGTCCTTAATCAAAATTTAGAAAAGATCCATCTCTAGAAATATCGATAACACCTCATTCATTGCTGTCGATCTCTTCTTTCTGTCACTGTCCTCTCCTTTTTCATCGTCGCCATTGTCTTCTTTATCATTTCTCTGCTCACGTTTCTTGATCAATTTAAGAACCATATTTTTATTAAGCTAGTTACACCGTGTCCATTGATGTTTGATCAGCTTTCTTTTCTCTCATCATTATTATAACCCTACAATCTGATTGGTAGAATGAATTACGACTCCATTACTATGACATTTATATAATTGTCGTTCGACATTTTTTTTCTGTCAGGACTAAGAAAGAGTTTATCTGTAAGTACTGCGGAAGACATTTTACCAAATCCTATAACCTGCTGATCCACGAGCGGACACACACGGACGAGCGGCCCTATTCCTGTGAGATCTGTGGAAAGGCTTTCCGACGACAGGATCATCTCCGCGATCACAGGTATCACTAGTTTGATAACATGTTTCTCTCAATTCGAACTGTAAAACGATTTTTTATAATAATGTCAGCATTCTTTTAGAATTTTTTAATTAAGTCTTTCTGTATGTTTGTTATTTAATTTTCAATTCTCTTTCTATAACTGAGTACAATTTTTAAAAAAATCATAAATTATGAAAATTCAGTTTTGTTTTTATTTCTTTCTCAAATTACACGATATTGTTTTACCAACCATGGTATCAAATAACAATTGATTTTTTCTTATCGACATACACTTTTGATAACATATCATAATTAAACAGAATATGATTAGAGATCAGTTGCGATCAATTTCATTGAATATTTTATCGTTTAATCAACGGAAACCGAACACATAAAATGTTAACATGAGTAGCCTTAATAATGCACTGGGTAAGTAAGACACGTGGTCTGTATTTATCAAAATTAGTTTATACTTTGAAACAGATGAAGGATGAGTTTTTTCTTTTTTTTCTCAGGTATATCCATTCCAAGGAAAAGCCGTTTAAATGTACGGAATGTGGGAAAGGATTTTGTCAGTCACGAACCTTAGCCGTACACAAAACGCTTCACTTGCAGGTAAGTTAGTAGGTAGATATATGTATTTTGATAATTTCCAAGCAAATGTATTTTTGGCTGAATTTGTAAAAAAAAGAATGACATTTTCTTGGTCATTATTAAGTAAGCCTTTAATGAGACGACTTGAATATTGTTTATTTGAATATATACCTAAAATCATCCTAACGTCACCCACCGCTGTGTATTGTCTTCAATGTATACAGCGAACTGACACTGATTACAATTTTAATGTCTTCTCTTTCCAGCAACAGAATGGCCAAACACCCACAAAACCGCTTAAACTTTGCAAGACAACGTGATTAAAGTCAACAATGCTGTGAAATGTGACCTCCTATTTAATCATGACGTCATAAGCCAAGTTTCCAGAAATGGCAGACGTTGAGAAATGCTTTTCCGGCCAAATCTCGCCAGTTTTACATCGTATACCAATCGGAAACGAGACTTGATAGTCGCTTTTCAAGGAGACCAGCACCGCGGCAAATTTGTCACGTGACATGAACGCTCCAATAAATAGCGAACTCTCGTGAAAGTGATGTGTATTTTGAAAAATCACATACAATTCAGGATAAACATCTATCATTAATGGTACCTCGGATATGTTGAATATTGTAATATATCCCCCCTCATCATCAAGGTTGTGACTAAATATATATAATTATGTATTTATTACTTCTATTTGTACGAGTGAATCATGTAAAGGAATTAGGAGATAAATGAATGTGTGTGACATCCTCACATAACTCAGTGTATGATAAAAACTCGAAACGCATTTCCGTGCATTTTGATGTGACGTCATATCAACTTACAAAATAACGAGGTTTTATCAATTACACAATTTCTGGAACGCAACATTACTTTTATCGGAAGTCTTACATGCGAGTGTGTATTTACATATTTGTGTGACGTCATGCTGCTTACATGAAAGTACGATATGTAGATTTATTAAAAAAAAATATATAAAAATGAAAATTAAATGATACTTATGATTTGGTAGAAATTCTAGTCAAGTTTTTAAATTACTAATATATGTATCACACCCTTGTTTAACCTTGTCTGCATGCTAAGAATCATGTTTGAAATTGGACCTTTGCGAATTATTCTGATGGTCGCAATCATATACACCAAACTATAATGCGATGATTATTGGAAACACATTGACGGGTTTTTAAACAACTAGTTAAAAATAGGAATCACTTTATTCCAGACTTCAGCATCCGTGAGAGTCATGTGTATAAACCGGATGTCAGATTTGAAACTGTCTGATCTCGGAATTTAGTCGCCTGCGATACATTTACAAACGGTGTATGTAAATAAGATAAATGGGATTGTTTATGATGAATATCATATCGGTCTCGCTGACCACATATATGATTGTTAACACAGTAGATACAAGTTATATTTTTCTCCATACGGTAAAATATCTATAAAAAAATCTATGAATATTTCTTTAACACCAATCCGTCTAATTATTATAACTTATAACCGGGACCACTTGTACCATTAAGGTGATTTTTTTTCTTGCTTTCATTTGACTTTGTCATAATGATACTCCACCAGGTTTCTTGTTTCTTATTCAAGGTCGTTTCTATTTTTAGAACAATAATTTGACATTTGATGTGCTCGGTTTACAGTGATTTTTTCACATTATGTGCTATTTTTCATTATTTATAAGGTCATGTTTATGTATTAATGTGCTATTTCGGTCGTGTTTGATATTACAAGTTATACATATGTGCTTGCGAGTAAAGTGTTGACATGAATGACTGTGTGTTTGTGCTTTACTTAAATACGTGTATATGTCTCATTACTGATACGTTTGTTTAATTGTCGCGTTTTTCCAGTAAATATAAATTTACTGATATACCTTTTTTGTAAAAGATATATCTGAAAGAATTTTTCAAGAGAAATAACCCGAAAATTTCGTTTTTCCCTCCAGAGAAATCTACCATTTGCTTATCACTAAAATTTTGATATGGATAGTTATGTGCCAGGAATTTGTTGTACTTTTCCATATACATCGATATTCAGGAAACTATAAGTCAATTTCATCAGTTTTGTACGAAACGGAAATGTCAATGGTCAGTGTTCTGGTGTGTGGTATTTATATTGCATATTGCAACCTGTTGTTATTATTTTACTTTAATAATAAAAAATATGTTCAAATAGATATCAGCATTTCTTTATTGTTTTTTTTGTAGCAAATAACTGGAGACATTGAAAACAGAACAATCGAGATTTAATAATGATTTTGTACGTCGTTCTCTATATAATTTGTATAATTTACGAAACGAAACACAAACGAAACGAAAATTCATTGAAACGAAAAGAAATCATTCTTTATCCATACATCATTTAAAGTGTCACGCCAAGTTGTCTTGTCTAGTACAGAATGTTTCTTAAAAGCAAAACATCATATTTTATGCATCGCCTGTCTTCGTAATTGCTGTTACTTTGTATATTTCGGCAAGAGTTTGTGCCATCTGGAGAATATAGACGGACGATCAATTCACGAGACGGACCTTGCATGTGTACATTTGACGGAACAAACAGAAATTAACAGACTGTGGCACTAATAATAACAATCTTGCAATAAAATGAAGGACAGTTTACCAATTGTTAAGTAAATTAAAATATATATTGATACGGCATGTGTTTCCGACTACACAGTACTGTTACCTCCCAAACCAGCCGAGAGTCTCTATCTGTTACCTCCAAAACCAGCCGAGAGTCTCTATCTGTTAACTCCCGAACCAGCCGAGAGTCTCTATCTGTTACCTTCCGAACCAGCAGAGAGTCTCTATCAGTTACCTCCCAAACCAGCCGAGAGTCTCTATCTGTTACCTCCCGAACCAGCCGAGAGTCTCTATCTGTTACCTCCTGAACCAACAAGAGTCTCTATCTGTTACCTCCCGAATCAGCGAGAGTCTCTATCTGTTACCTTCCGAACCAGCGAGAGTATATATCTGTTTCCTCCCGAACCAGCGACAGTCTCTATTTGTTACCCTCCGAACCAGCCGAGAGTCTCTACCTCTTTTTCCTCCCGAATCAGCGAGAGACTCTCTCTCTTTTTCCTCCCGAACCAGCGAGAGTCTCTATCTGTTACCTCCCGAACCAGTTAGAGACTCTCTCTCTCTTTTTCCTCCCGAACCAGCCGATAGTCTCTATCTGTTACCTCCCGAACCAGCCGAGAGTCTCTATCTGTTACCTCCCGAATCAGCGGGAGTCTCTATCTGTTACCTCCCGAACCAGTTAGAGTCTCTCTCTCTTTTTCCTCCCGAACCAGCCGATAGTCTCTATCTGTTACCTCCCGAACCAGCCGAGAGTCTCTATCTGTTACCTCCCGAATCAGCGGGAGTCTCTATCTGTTACCTTCCGAACCAGCAGAGAGTCTCTATCAGTTACCTCCCAAACCAGCCGAGAGTCTCTATCTGTTACCTCCCGAACCAGCCGAGAGTCTCTATCTGTTACCTCCTGAACCAACAAGAGTCTCTATCTGTTACCTCCCGAATCAGCGAGAGTCTCTATCTGTTACCTTCCGAACCAGCGAGAGTATATATCTGTTTCCTCCCGAACCAGCGACAGTCTCTATTTGTTACCCTCCGAACCAGCCGAGAGTCTCTATCTTTTTCCTCCCGAATCAGCGAGAGACTCTCTCTCTTTTTCCTCCCGAACCAGCGAGAGTCTCTATCTGTTACCTCCCGAACCAGTTAGAGACTCTCTCTCTCTTTTTCCTCCCGAACCAGCCGATAGTCTCTATCTGTTACCTCCCGAACCAGCCGAGAGTCTCTATCTGTTACCTCCCGAATCAGCGGGAGTCTCTATCTGTTACCTCCCGAACCAGTTAGAGTCTCTCTCTCTTTTTCCTCCGGAACCAGACGAGAGTCTCTATCTGTTACCTCCCGAACCAGCCGAGAGTCTCTATCTGTTACCTCTCGGACCAACAAGAGTCTCTATCTGTTACCTCCCGAACAAACAAGAGTCTCTATCTGTTACCTCCCGAACCAGACGAGAGTCTCTATCTGTTTTCTACCAAACAAGCCGAGAGCCTCTATCTGTTACCTCCCGAACCAAAAAGAGTCCCTCTCTGTTTCCTCTCGGACCAGCGAGATTCTCTATCTGTTACCTCCAGAACCAGCCGAGAGTATGTATCTGTTACCTCCCGAACTAGCGAGAATCTCTATCTGTTACCTCCCGAACCAACAAGAGTCTCTATCTGTTACCTCCCGAACCAGCCGAGAGTCTCTATCTGTTACCTCCCGAACCAGCCGAGAGTCTCTATCTGTTACCTCCCGAACCAGCCGAGAGTCTCTATCTGTTACCTCCCGAACCAGCCGAGTCTCTATCTGTTTCCCCCCGAACCAGCGAGAGCTATTCTAGTACAATGTCATTTCAACAAAACGTTCTGATCTTTATACATATAATGTTTTTGTAAAACGAAATGTTAAAATAATAACTATCTGTCACTTATTCACTAGATCGCAATTTCTGCACGAGCGATTTAGATGTGAAAATAAAGACATTATATTGAAGCAAAAACAACAACGAAATAAAAAAAAAATAGAAAAGTTCAGAATGCGGAAAAAAATTTACAGGTTCAGGTAGCTCATAGTCATTCTAAATCAAGGTTTTTTTAATATATAAAATTTGAACTTAAACATATATCAAAGAATTTGAAATAATCACCATAGAAACGACGCATGTATTTAAATGATTTAATGCATTTAACAGCAAGGTAAATATCGGATTATATAGTTAGCTATATTTTTAATTACAATCATCTAATAATTATAGTGACTTTGACAAGTTTTCATTTAAAATAACAACATAATTAAATATGTGATTAATTATGACTCAGGTGAGTGTGGGTGTGTCTGTGTAAATGACTTTGGTGTACGTACATATCTTAATGGCTATTTTATACACCCAACTCAACACGGAAAATCCAGGTACGCCGAGAGCGGAGGAGTTTGCCTAAAATTTATGATCGAAATTTAAATTTTGAGTAAATCTTTGATCGGTAAGCAAAACGGGAGCTCACCACCTGAACGGAAATAAAAGGAAATGGAGACTGCCGTAAACGGGTCTATTGCCACAAGTTGATCGTTAATGTCGTATAAATTAAACTGCCGTGTAATTGATGTGGACGACTAACTCGGTTTAAACAGCTCGGGATATGTTCAAAGGACATATTTGTTTTGGGAAAGAGATTAACATATGTTTGAGGAACTTCTAGCACAAATTTAACAAAGGCCTGTTACAGTTGTAAACACGCTCAGCCCGTTTTGATCTCAGCTTGCCAATAAACAAGATGAAATTCTTAAGTAAATAATACTACCTCCCCGTTTTAAGCAGATCGCTTTGATGGTTTAATGATATGTAAATTAATGGACGGACCTTTGTACATATTTCGTTTCTAACAGGTTTACACAACGTAATAAGTTGTTTTTTTCTTTCATTTCTCTCTTTAAACGAAACATAAATTCCGTACTTGCTATTTACACCGTCGGAAGTGAAAGAAAACGTTAATGATTGTCGATCGACTCTCAGTGAGATCACGTGACCAAGACGTCAGCCATATTTATATAACACCAATGGGTTGATTTACAAGATTATTAAGAGTTTAAAGTTTTGGTCGGGTTATTTTTTGATTACGAAGAATATAATTTTTCGGAAGTTT